TTTAATCACCCCTGGGTTTTTTTTTTTTTTTTACTATATAATGAAAAAAGTACCGTACATTTAAAAAAAAAAAAAAAAAGTTTCCCTACGTTGTGTTATAAAAATGTTATAAAACATCTATTCTTACCCATATTTACCCATATTTTTGGTAAAATATAAAAGTCGGGGTCACGTCGGGTAAAAAAACACCAAGCATGTCGAGCCTTAATTTGTTTTTTTATTTTTGTATTACTTTTTTTTTTTACACAACTTTATTGCTATCACATAGGGGGCTAAGAAGTCCCCTATGTTATAGCCAATATACATGACAGGTCCTCTTTATGGAGACATCAGGGGTCTTAAGGACCCCCAGAGAAGCTGCTGAAGCAGAGATCTGCTTCATCAACTTCTGTAGCTGGAGAGTGACACTGAATGCAGCAAGGGATGTAATATCCATCACTTCCTGCATTCTGGGACTAAGGGCCTGTTCACATGATTCTCAGGTGCGGATCTGCAGACGCGGTGCCATGTGTTTTTGCCGCGTTCTTGATGCGTTCCAGTTTTTGCTGGAGTGGGGCTATCAGTATGTTAGCTGCAGTGCAGTGCGTTTCAGACGCGTTTTGCTTTTCTGGACCATTTCCTGACAGGACAAAATATGACATGCAGTATTTTTTCTGTCGTAAGCTGAACGGACTGCGCACATGAGAACTGTAGCCCATAAAACACATATGGATGCATTTTTAGTGCAGAAGCATACGGATCAGGTCAGCACAGAAAACGGACGTCGTGTGAACAGGCCCTGAGAGGAGATCAGAGGGAGATCATGTACCGATCTCCCTTTGATCTCCTGTCAGAGCAGCCGTGCCGGTACCGGCCGCATCGGCCACAGCGGATCTCGGGACCGGCACGGCTGTGACAGCTGCTCCTATACAAGTGGTCGGGCGTCTCTAGAGATGCCCGATCGCTTGAATGTAAAGCTCCCGGCCAGCCGTGTAATTGCAACAGCCGGCAGGGAAGCTACTTGTCGAGCTCTGCCGTCCTCTCGTCACAGACGAGAGGACGAGTGGATTTTTCAAGCCCTGCTTATTTGTGTATCACTCAGCTGTAGATCCTCAGATCACTTCTGAATTGGTGCTGAGACTGTCCTTCCTCCTGGAGGGTGGCTACTTTTGTTCCTCATGGTCCCTGTGTGTGTTGTAATGTAGTCATCACTCCAAGCTCACTCCCGTAATGGACTACGATCTCAGTACAAATCAGTAAACTAAAGGTGAGATTGTAGTCCTTCACGGGAGCGAGCTTGGGATGGTCGCTATTTCATAAAACACACAGGGACCATGGAGAACAAAAGTAGCCACCCTCCAGACGGAAGGACAGTGTCAGCACCAATTCAGAGATGATTTGAGGATCTACAGCCAACTGATACACAAATAAGATACATTTTTGTTAATAGTTAAAGTACTCAATGGCATTTGTAGGATTTAACTCCTGGGTTTAGTGTCACTTTAATTAGTAGGAGCCGGGATAGGCATGGCAATCAGTTTAAGTGTTAGATTTATGCAGGCTGTCACTAAAAGTACTACCAAAGGCTCCTTTGTGTGACAGTCTAAACAAGTACCAAATCTATGTGATACACAAACTTTATAAATGAACAAATAACTTAATTTACTGTTGCCTGGCTGAGCCAAATCCTCCCTCATTGCGCTCCTCCTCCCAGACACTGCAGCTCACAGTGGGAGGGTTTCAGTAACAGAGGCAGTTTTGTTAAGGTACTTAATTCCCCCCCATCCAAGTCTGTGCAAATACAAAACCTGCTTGAAACAGGTCAGGAGGAGGTCATTTGTACCTGTCGGTGGATTCTGAATAATCTTAGCAGCATCTTAAACTGATGTTAAACTATTGCTATTGCGTAAGTCAACGGCGCTGGAAGGGTTCAAGGTGGGGACTATTGAGGAGAAGCTTGCTCTATACGCGGATGATTTAATTTTGTTCCTGGAGGACGCAGGCCCATCACTTAGAGAGGCGCTGAGGATTCTGGATCAATTCTCGGTGTTCTCTGGCTTGAGAGTTAACTGGGCCAAATCCCATATCCTGCCCTTAGATGACGGCACTATTGCCTCGGCAGATAGATCAGTCCCTCTGCAGTGGGTCTCGCAGATCACATACCTAGGAATTAAGATCTCGGCTAGGGTGGGAGATTATCAATCCTTGAATCTGACCCCGGCCCTTGCAAAGATTAAGGGAAAGTTGCTGGCGTGGAAACACTTGCCTATTTCCATGTTAGGGAAGGTCAATCTGCTTAAAATGAAGGTTTACTGTGTTGTATTTCTTACGCATCTCCCCGGTTTGGGTACATGCAAGTTTTTTCCGAGGGGTGACTGGCATGTTCCATGACTTTGTGTGGGGCTCGCAGGTGCCGAGGCTTCGGATGCCAATCCTGCGGGCCACCTTGAAGGCGTGGCAGCAGGTGGCAGGTGTACTTGGGTGAGGAGAGCTGCTGGTGTCACCGCACACTCCTCTGTGGAGGAACCCAAATCTGGAGCACTTCCACACTATACCGGACTGTCATGTCTGGGCCAGGAGGGGCATTAAAAAGTTGGAGGACATACTCACTGATGGGCGTCTTGCGATTTTCGCAGACTTGCGTATTAAATTTAAACTACCGGGATCCTTTCTTTTCAGATATAGGCAACTCTCCCATGCCTTCCAAGCTCAGTTTGCACCCACATCGGGGAGCTTTGGTGCCTCCTCATTGGAGTGCATGCTGAGAACCCAGGGGCTTCGTAAGCCCTTATCAATGGTCTACAGTACACTATTTCCTGCCAGATTAAGCCCCCTGAACAGCTGTGGGGCACAGTGGCGTAGAGAGGTGCAGGACTTAGATGAGGAGGAATGGAGGGAGGCCTGGGATTATCCTTTCACACATTTGATTTCGGCTAGAGATAGACTAATACAGTATAAATTACTGGTCAGGGTGTACTACACTCCCACGAGACTGGCCCGGATATGTAGCACAAGCTCAGCAATGTGTTGGAGGTGTACCTTTTCTCCTGCGGGATTTAGTCATGTGTTTTGGGATTGCCCGGTTATTAAGATCTTCTGGGTAGAGATCATGCACTTCATATCCGTGCTCCTGATGCAGGACATACAGCCGGAGATGGGACTCTGCTTACTGGGTCTCATGGAACGTATTACGACTACTCATGCCACTAGCACGCTGTTGAGGATTTAACTGTTCTATGCTAGGAAATTGATAGTGTTGCACTGGAAAAAGCGGGCTCCACCTACCTTGGAAAATTGGAGGGGATTAGTAGAATCTGTTATCCCAATGTATGAAGCTACGCATATCCATAGAGCTTGCCCTCAAAAGTTCCATAAAGTCTGGGGACCCTGGTTGGATGCATTTTCTGCGGTACTAGCTAGTGACCAGCAAGACTTGTGTACATCCTCACTTATGTGTCTGAGTAGGCGGGGAATTGAGAATTGAACATTGAGATAATTTGCATGACTTCATTCACGGGGGACACCAGGGATCCTGGAGGACTCCGCTGGCGGGGGTTCCATCTCCACTGGTGCCCTTAGTGAGAGGTCATACTACCCACGTCTTGGTGCTTTCATTCAGCAGGGTTCTTACTTGACCTGTATTTGTGTTGTTGGACCAATGTTGTAAGATGTGCCCCTGAGTGTTGAACTCAGGTGATAACTGTGTATTTTGTACTGTTTATCTATCTATCCACTGTATATTAGTTATACGGATAAGTACATGGGTATTGGGGATAAGATGGTTGCATTGGAAATTCTTGCATATATGGCCTTCAGCTAGTCTGGGAATTCTACAACTTTTTGTGTAAGAATAATTTAAAACTGCGATATCACTCTAAAAATCTTAAAACAACCACAAGGCATTTGTTATCGCTCCCCAGCTCTGAGACAAAATAACAGTAAGTTATGACTATGCCTTGTAACAAATGCTTCTGAGAGCTGAATTGTTTGCTTTATAATTGCTTGTTGTAATTAAACATGCCAGGCGCAATCTTGAGCCATTTTAATTGTGTTTCTGTGCTGGTGTATGGTTTAGTTACTGTATTGTAATATTGTTTATGTTCTGAGAGGTAGAATGTATTACCATGACAATTAGATCATTAGAATACATATTTTGAAATGTGTTAATGTGTTTTCTATTTCTCAGTTTAATCTCATTAGTTTCTTTTAGCAGTTTGCTTTTCATAGGCCCCATTCACAGTTACGTTTAGGGGCAGTCTCTTGAATTCCTTCATGACACTCAGTGGTTGTTTATGTGATCAGCCGCAGAGTAGAATCACTATACAAAGCACTAAGATGCTGACAGCGCAGGTCACCATTCATATGTAATCAGACATTTAGTGATTTCCTGCAGATCATAGCCTGTAGATGCAAATTGTTTGCGTCCAGGGTCATCCACAGGTAATGGCTGCCATTCTCATTACATGCAAATGACCACAAACAGCTGCGGCCGCTATCAGCTTCTTATTGCTTTTGTATAGTGGTTCCTGCCAGCAGCTGATTTCATAAACACCTCATGGAGGAATTCATGAAGCTGCCCCTAAACACAAGTGTGTCTGGGACTAATGCAGATATTACTAGTAATACTAAGGACTTTGGTGTGATATTTGGACAGTATTCATGGCGCCAGTGCTGTACACAACAACCCCCTTCCCAGGAATTTTGGGTGTCAAATTCCTGGTTCATATTTGATAATGCAATTAAACATCTAGTTGTTATGAGCCGTTGCCTTTCCTTTGTTTAATTTGTTTTTGTAAATTGATTGAACTTTTAGATTTATAGCACAGTTGCAGTGATTGCTAGATGGCATTAGCAGCTGATGAAAGTAGTAATACAGAGTACTAAAAGCAGTGTAATAAAAGGATTACATTCCCCAATTGATGCAATTGGGTATTTATGATTTAATAGATGACAATAAAGGCCTCTGACCTCATCGACAATTATATTGTAATAAAGCAATCGTTATCTTTTTATTGTTTCAGCGTGCACGGGTGTGGATCCCTGATCCTGAAGAAGTTTGGATATCTGCCGAAATACAGAAGGATTATAAACCAGGGGATACAGTTCTTCATCTGCGTCCTGAGGAAGGAGCGGTATGTGTTCTCTGGATACCATTCAGAAATCGGCTAGAATGTCATGATGCTTTTCAGGCTACAAATCATTTTGTGTTCTGTAGATATGCTGTCTGGGAATCCTTCTGTGCCCTCAAGCAGTGTACTCAGTGCTAGAATGTTTACCTCCTTTCATATGACTTATTTCAGCGCTGGTTGTCAGCAGTATAGCGCCACTTTATGCACAGAAAACTAAATGAAATTTGCCATGGCTTCTAATGTGTTTATTTGCATTTATCCATATAGTATCTGAATGCACAGTTCTTTTTTGATTAGATTTCTCTGAAAGTTTTATTAGCAATCCACTGTCTTTAGTTCATAGATCAGAATAAAGATACCCATAGGGGCTGATTTATAAATCCCACCACTAGATGGGGCTAAGGATTTTCCTATGCACCTCAGCTCCATCTAGTGGTGCGAATGATGTGCAAACGGCATTTGCCCAGAGTTCAGCAGGGTGGAAGATTTATAACTTTGCCTCATAGTGTTCTCATTTTATGAATTTTAGACATTTGTTTATATGTATTAGGGACGCACCGATACCGTTACTGGTGTCTGTATCGGTGACAATATCGAGTATTTGGGCAAGTACCCATACTCGCCTAAATGCTCCGGATGCCTATCCCGATACCGGAACTTCCAGTATCAGGAAGCCGGGCGGCGAGTCATTACACGCTGCCCAGCTTCCTGATTGGCTGGGAAGCCGCCTCCATGCTCCTTCGTCACCAGAGAGCATGGAGCTGGCTTCCCGGCCTATCAGGAAGCCGGGGGTTGGGTAATGACTTGCGCCCCGTCCCCCCCAGCTTCCCGATTGGGCCGGAAGCCGGCTCCATGCTCCCTCATCATTTGGTGACGAGAGAGTATGGAGCTGGCTTCCAGGCCAATCAGGAAGCCGGGTGGCGTGTAATGAATCTGCTGCCCAGCTTCCTGTGTAGTCGGGAAGCTGGCCAATCAGGAAGCCAGGGGGCAGGTAATGATGGCTCCATGCTTCCTTGTCACCTGGTGACGAGGGAGCATAGAGACGGCTTCCTGGCTAATCGGGAAGCCGGGTGGTGAATCACTACACTCTGCCCTGCTTCCTTAAGGGGACTTCCGGTATCAGTAATCGGTATCTGCGAGTACAGAAGAAAAAACAATATCTGTACTCGTACTCGATACTGAAAAACCGATATCGGTGCATCGCAAGTATGTATCTTATATGTTTTATAGAAAAGATCAGCGTTTTGATGTAAATTCCCTGGCTTGGTTTTCACAAGAATAAGTCAGCAAAATATGAAGCCCCGGACAAATGCTATACTGTTTTAAGTCAACTGTCTTTGTAGATATCATCCTGTTTTTAATTTTTCCCTAAACCTACATTCTCAATGCATGAAGAAATCACTTTTGTCCTGTTATGTCATCACATGATGTCACATATTGATGGATCACCCTCATTCAGTACGAATCAGTCTTTTTCATGGAGAAGAGAAAATACTGTTTAAAGGAGAACTCTTTGCAAAACTTTTATTAACCCTTGCAGTTAGGCTACACCCGCACTGTAAGGGTTAACTACTCGATTTTGTCTATTTGTTATATTTACCCGACCCGCTGAGCCAGCTCCCTGCTTTACTGGTCAGTGAAACATGTCTCCTCCTCTGCTGCAGCATTGAAATGTTCCTCAGCGTCCTCACGTCTATATGTCATACCGGCGTTCGCTCACCTCTCAATCCTGTCACGGCTCTCTGCCGTGACAGGGGAGGGGCTGGATTCCCCCCTCCCCGATCCGATCCGCCAGCGCTGACTAGCGGAACGGAATGGGGAGGGGGCGGGTACAGCTGGTTCTGCCTCTAGATAGGCAGACCCAGCTGTCAGTCACGCAGCTGGGCGGATCCCGGCACAATTGTCGGGATCCGCTTCAGCTGCGGCGTGTCAGTATACCGTGAGCTACAGCTTGCGGTATACTGAGCCAAGGGTGACGGGAGGACGCTAGTTTGTGTCCTCCCCGTTACCCTAAGGAGAACTATGGGGAAAAGCCTTAACCCCATAGTTCTCCTTTAATAAAATTTGATAAATGTTTTGCTTGGAATTCCTATTTAGGTGTATATCTGGGCAAAATCAACGTGCACATTCCTCCATTTTTTTTTCCTCTTAAAAAACTGCATAAAAATACCTTTTAATCTAACTAAAATCCAGTGAGCTCCTTTTTTTTCTCGAACGGGCTAGACAGTGCCCCTGCTGTGCTGATGACATCCCAAGCAGCGTTGTCAGCTCTGCCCAATTCTGTCTAATCCTACAGAGCCCCTTTCCTCTCACTATCACTGTAACCTATCACTATAATCCCAGGCACAGTCTGGGGTTTCAGTGAACCAGAGGCACTGTTTTGTCAGCTCAAACAAGAAGTTCGGAGCTTAAAGGATAATTAAAGTGACATTAAACCCTCAGATTTTTTTAACATAAAACAATACTGTAATGTGTGCCTTACTGTAATCCATGGTTGTTTCCCTTCTCTTTGCTGCTCTTCCTTTTACATCTGTATCTCTTCTCATGCTGGGCAGAACTTCTGTTTTGCAGCAGACTGCCTTGTCTCAGGAATGGATACACGGTGTCTGTGTATACATTTGTATAGACTTGTAACCTGAGCCAGCACTACAGGAAGAGGCCCTGAGCTGAAAAGGGAAGTTCTCCCCAAGCATGAGAAGACATGAGGATTTAAAAGGAAGAGCAGCAAAGAGAAGGGAAACAACCATGGATTACAGTAAGGCACACATTACAGTATTGGTTTATGTTAAAAAATCTGAGGGTTTAATGTCACTTTAAAGCCCACCGTTTTTTTGCATATATCTACTGCTAGCAAGCAGTAGATCTATGCACAAAGTGTAAAAATAAAACCAAAAGCGCTTTAACAGAGGTTAATACTCACCTGTGTCTTCCCTGTGAGCTCCCGTCCAAAAATGTGAATATCCTCGGGCGGCCACAAAGCATCTTGGGGCGGGCGCATGCGCAGATCACATTTTCGGCCGGGAGACGAGGAGAGACACAAGGTAAGTCTATGGACGCGTGCACCCGCATGCAGACGCCGTGGGACAGGAAGTGCCAGCAAGGACAGAGGAGTCGGCGCTGGAGGGACAGATGAAAACGACAGGAAAGAAGAAGATCGGATTAAGGTAAGTGCTTACATTAACATTGGGGGAGGGGGAAAAAATTGACTTTAATGTGTCTTTAATGAGTTTGGAGATTACCAGATATTTTTTTTTTTGCAACATTTTAAGAGACAAAACATGTGGAAATGTGTATGCACTGGAGAGATGTACTGAATGTTTAGTTTTTTTGCCCAGACATGAAATTTAAAGCGGAAGTTATTTAGAAAAAAAGGTCTCTTAGGAGATTTTAGCCATATTGTGCAGCATATTACATCATTATGGCAGACTTACCTGCCAAAACGATCCTCTCTGCACTTTTCACTCAATGGCACTTCTATCTGCTCCCCGGTCATCTTCTGTGTTTCATGTTTTTGGCTGCTTGGTTAGCCAGGCCCCGATGATGCACATGCACACAGGAGTTTTTTTTTATCTCCCATTCTGAGTCTGTGCCCTGTGCTGCTCATGTGCAGCTCAGTCTCCATTCACACATAGGCATTTGGAATTCAGGGTGTTTTTGTGCGCTCAGTGAAACGCGGAATTTTTAATAGACTCAGAGTTTTGCTCGCCTGTGTGGCTACACTACAGACTTTTGGGGACAGAATACGCGTACTTTTTCCTACGAGCACCATAGGAATGCATTGTTTTTTATGTTTTGCGTGTTTATGTAAAAACGCCTATGTGTGAATGGAGACTAAGCAAAAAAAAATATTGTCGAATGGTAGAAAGAAGATATTACTTACACATAATTTCAGATAAGTTACTGACACCGATTGGGCCAGAAAGTAAATGTATTTTTGCCATGCTGGTGACACTATCCTATTCTTTACACATTGTGTTGATACATGCTTTGTCATTTTCATGTTCTGCTGTACTGTTTCTTTGGCATATATCATCTATTATTTTATGAAAATATAACTGCCAGTAGGTGTTCTTCTAGATTTGATTTTATCGTTTATAGTTGTGCTTAAATGCTGATATTTAGAAAAGTGCTTATGACTTGTATTTTGTGTTCAAGGATTTGGAATATCGTCTGGATGGCAAGAAAAAGGAGCTGCCACCGCTAAGAAATCCAGATATCCTTGTCGGTGAAAATGACCTTACTGCACTCAGTTACCTCCATGAGCCGGCCGTCCTGCACAATCTAAAAGTGCGCTTTATAGACTCCAAACTAATATATACCTACTGCGGTGAGTACCAGGAGGATTGTGGTACCTTAGTGTCAATGACTGTCAAGGGTTCTGTGTCTGCATGCCGTTTTTATTGTCTGGTTTTAGAATAAAAAATTAAAAGGATTATAAAAATAATGGTGTGTGTATATGTATGTATGTATGTATAATGTGTGTGTGTATATATATATATGCATACACACAAAATTTTGTAGAAAAGCACCACCTGAATAAGGCTGTAGCAGTGCGAGCGATGAGTCTGTTTAACGACAACGCAATGTCACATTGGATAGATTCCTTGTTAAGGTTTCACGAAATGAAAAAGATTCCATTGAGTCAAGAGATAGCAGTGATTCCGTTAGTGATAGTGAAAGTCGTCCTACGCAATAATCCTCCTCCCTCTTGTCCCTCTCACACCGGCCACAAAAGGTACCGGTAATTGGTTTATTTTTCTTTATATTTTATACGTTATTATATTACAGTACAGTATTGTAATCATTTTATATGAATATTTTTGGGATGTGGAACGAATCATCTGAATTTCCATTATTTCCTATGGGGAAATTCGCTTTGATATACAAGCGCTTTGGATTACAAGCATGCTTCCGGAACGAATTATGCTCGTAAACCAAGGTATTACTATATATATATATATAGGCAGTAATGTATTCTGCTAGTGTGTATGCATGTAATAAATGCTGATTTTCTTGCAGACTGGTTCTTGCCAAAGGAGCAGTAAATCCACACATTGCCTTATTTAACTGACGTGAATGTACACTATGTAAAAGCGCTGCATAAATTTTCAGCGCTATATAAATACCTGTAATAAATACAAAATAAACAAACTGCATTGGAAATAACTGTTACAACTCTCTTCATTTTACAGTGGAGATTATTTCTCAGCAGGAATATCACCCAAAAGCCATAAATACATCCATATTTCAAACTATAATTACATTCTCTTTAAAGCACAGCTAAACCCTAAAATACAAATGTAATATGTTGCAGCGTACCGGGCCTTAGATGTATTGGCTGCATTCGTTTTCATTTTTCAGGCGAAGAACATTTTCAGCAAGTACAGAAAATACCTGTTGATTGTGCCAGAAATGCTGTGTCCTTGTCCCTTCTTGTGAGCTGAACCAAAAGAACCCACCATGTATTGGAGATATACAAAGGTGGACATGATTGGAGTCCAGCCTGTGTGACAGTCATGGCTCCCTCCTATAGATACACTGGAGAAATGAGTGTAGACATGAAGGGACATGAAGTCTGTTATTTGCTGGATCACCAGGTGAAATTAAAGGGGAAAAAATAAAACCTATAAAAAAACTGTGATAGTACAGCTGATAATAAGCCTGAGATGGGTATCATTGTTGAATTATAGGCTTTATTTTCATTATATAAAATGTATGAAATATGTAGCCTGCCCCACCTCTTGTCAGGCATTTCCTATCTACACAGACATGATAGTCATCTGTACAAACTGCTTTTGCCATGGGTTTGTCCGTGACTCTGCAGGGAATGAAGCTGACTCTCACATGAGTCACAGTGGAACCCATGAGTTATCTAGATCCTGCTTCTTGCAGGGCTGAAATGTTATCTCTCAGACAACTTTGTTTGAAGTTACCTTAAGGAGTAATTAAAGAGACCCTTTCACCAGACCAAATATCAATTTATTTGTCATTGTAACACAGCTTTATTTATAAATCCTATTGCTCCTCTGGACAGTTTATTTTATTTTTTTTGTGTGCAGATAATTAAGTTAGAGACGGGAAAAATTAGAAGAATTCAACACCTTTGTCATGTTATGTGCTTCTGTTTTTTACTACGCTCTGCTACCCTCACCAGCACTCCTATGTAATTGACAGCTGACACTGTGTGCAGGAGAACTCATGACAGAAGCTCTTTAAAGTAGGGATACACCGATGTATCGGGCGAAAATTGCACTTTTGGCATATTGCCGAAAATGCAATTTTCCTGCCCATACAGCGACGCATCCCTGCTTTCTTTCCTCCCCGCTGGGCGCTGCTCTGTGTCCCAACGGGGAGGAGAGAAAGTGACAGCCGGCCGAGCGCTGCGGGAGGACAGCGATGTGAGCGGCCGGCGTCTCCTCCCACATCGCTCAGCCTCCTATCTCAGTCCGGCAGAGCAGTGTGTGGACGGAGACAGGCCGCGCTGTCACAGGAGGCTGAGGGTGTCAGAGAGGAGAGCAGGTACAAGCAGTCAGTGATCAGGGATCGCTGAGTGTTTGTAGATAATTGAGGACATGGTATGTGTAATATATCCTCAACTATGAATGAATGGGAGTGATCTACATCCCCTCCTGTTCATTCATAGTTGTAGTTATAGTAAACATACCATGTCCTCATGTTATGAATGAACAGGAACACTCATAGAAGATTCCTGTTGATTTGTAACAGGGGATACAGAAAAAGAGATTGAGGACTTTGTGTCCTCAATCTCTTTTTCTATTTTTCCTGCTGACTCGCCTAAAATTCAACCAGTGTGTGGCCAGCTTAAGCCGCATCTCCACCTTTAGAGCCGGTTCACACCACAAACACTGCGTTCCAGAGAGGTCAGCCTCTGGAACACACTATTTTGCGACCCGGCCTGCTCCCTGCGTTCAGGGGTGGTAGGGGCGTGGCGGTTCATTGAAGTCAATGACACGGCAGCCACACCCTCCTCCCACAGTGCAATCAACCAGACGCGTGGCACATTAGTGCCTGCGTTCTGGTCCAGTGTGATCTGCAAAGATTCTGCAAGCACTATTTTCGCCGATCGCACTGGACTGGAAAGCAGGCTCTGTGCCACACTTTTGGGTGCGTGTGATCGCACTGCAGGTGGTTCACACCACAAATAGTGCGTTCCAGAGTGGTCAGCACTATTTTCGCCGATCGCACTGGACTGGAAAGCAGGCTCTGTGCCACACTTTTGGGTGCGTGTGATCGCACTGCAGGCGGTTCACACCACAAATAGTGCGTTCCAGAGTGGTCAGCCTCTGGAACGCACTGTAGCCCAACCCGGCCGGCCCCCTGCATTCAGGAGCGGGAGGAGGCTAGCGGTGCATTGAAGTCAATGGCACTACAGCCACGCCCCCCGCCTCTGTGCACTCTGACAAGGAACAGGCTTATGTGATGTCAGGTGTGCGGATTAAAGAGACCATGTCGGAGCCACCACCACTTCCTTGGGTTTAGGTGAATACTGCATGAATGCTCTTTAATGTACTGCCTGGGACCTGTTAAACTAGGAAACGCCACTAAAAGGCTTTTAGGATTTTTAGAGTAGTATTAAACTCGCAAACCTTTTTTTTTTTTTTTTTTTTTTTTTTAGTAATGAATCCAGATGGAACGAATATACATTTCCCAGCATTTCTTTAAATTTTTGCCTAAACAATTACAATTATGTTTCTGAACAGCTGCTTCCAACTCTCTCAGCTCAGGTTCCCTGACCTTCCTGTCCAGTACTAGATCACAAAGGACAGTGCAGACTCCAGCAACTGTTCATCTATTAGCTTGCAGGAGGGAGGAGAGGGGGCCAGGGAGGAGAGGAGTAGATTGATTTGCTGTGTTTGTGGAGATGCACACAGCTTACTAGGACGCACAAGGGTGAAGCATATCATCACTCTGCTTGAGAAAGGAGTCACTCTAAAAACATTCTGCAGGAAACTAAAACTTTTAAACATCAAGGCCCAGCAATCATTGTAAGGGATTTCATCAGTATTTGAAAAAGCTTAAAATCCTTTTGTCTTTAATATCACTTTAAGTCTTGAAATTTATATTGAGGACATTTGTGTATTTGCCCACTACATCCATTGTTTATATAGCAATATACTGTATATGGTGCACTACATACCTTACTACTTGAAATCAGTAGCCTTCTGCAGTTCTAGGAGCGCAAATTGTTGAGCCTGTCAGGGTGCCCCATGTTTTCATAGCACAAATCCCATAATGGAATGTTTGACTTCTGTAAAAGCACTAGCTAGATAGCTGAAACAACGAATGGATTTAGCTTCTAGTGTTGCTATTGAAAAAAGAATAAATGAGTAACAGGACTATTGAAATGTGAAGAAAAAAACATTTATGTAAAAATTCAATATAGGAGAAAAAAAAAAAAAAAAGTTGCACTCAACAGGAAATCATTTCTGCATAAATATGAGAGTTGTGGTTGGTCAGGATGTTACCATGATCTATATCTTGCAAGCAAGACCTGATGCTGTCACATTGATTTTGTCTCATTGACCAGTGCTACCATGTCAATTCTCAAATAAAAAATTCTAAAAAAGTATTTCCATAAGGGCCAGTTCAGAGCATCTTCAAAATTAATCTGGATGTGTTTCTGCAAACCCGGTCATGTGCGTTTTGATGCATTTTTTAATGTGTCTGGTGCATTTGTTTTTAGCATCAATTGCCTTTTAGATGCGTTCCAGTGCATTCTGGTGTGTTTGCAAGCATTTACATGTGTTTTTGTGTGTTCCTGAGCAGAAAAAATGTAGCATGCTGGTTTTATTTTATTTTTTAATGTGGAACGGAACGCAATGGTGTGCACAAGACACAGACAAATCATTGGAATCTATAGGGATGTGAATTTGTCCCAGACAAAAAAAAAACATTCCGGTCTGAGTGCCCTTTCACATGAGTTACAGTATACTGTATCATATGCCAGCTGGCTTTCTGCGTTCAGGGGCGGGAGGCGGCATGGCGGTGCATTAAAGTTAATTTCACCACAGCCCTGCCCACAGTGCGATCACCTGCACCAGAACACGAGGCAAAACAATTCCTGCGTCCTGGTCCAGTGCAATCTGAAAAAATAGTGCTTGCAGCATTTTTTTCAGATTGCACTGGACCGGAAGGTTGGCATTGTTTTGCAATGCTTTCCGGTGTGAGCGATCGCACTGCGGCCGGGGGCGCGGCTGCAGTACCATTGACTTTAATGCACCGCCATGCACCCCCCTCCTGCCCCTGAACGCAGGAAGCCAGCCAGGATGCGATACAGTGCATTCCAGCAGCTAACCGCGCTGGAGCCCACAGTAACTCATGTGAAAGGGCCCTAAGGATGGTGTGAACAAGCCCTTACTGTATCCACATAATTATTTATGCAGATATCACAGATGCTGTCAAGTGATTAACTTGGCTTATGGAAGCTTCCAAATCATTTGTGTTTTCACTTGAGACTTTTACACTGTAACAAATGTAACCATCAATGTTTTCCCTGGAGCAGGACAGATCCATAAATGACTTGTGAATTTCTTGTCACATGTTTTCCCTTTTTTTTTTTCCCCAGGCATAGTTCTTGTAGCGATAAACCCTTATGAACAGTTGCCTATCTATGGCGCCGATATCATCAATGCCTACAGTGGGCAGAACATGGGGGATATGGATCCCCATATATTTGCAGTGGCAGAAGAAGCATACAAACAAATGGCCAGGTGTGTGTCATAATGTATTTAAATCAATTGTGTATGCTGTTCACAAATAAGTAACCTAACCATTGGTTGTTTTTGAATTTAAAGTATACTAAAGCCAATTTCTTTGTTTTTGTTTTAGGTTTGGATAGCTTAGAGAAGGAGTTAAAACCTTAAAGGTGAACTATGGGTTTAAACCTTAAACCCTAAAGGTGAACTATGGGGCCAATAGTTCTCAGAGTCACAGGAGGACATATATTGTGTCCTCCCGTGACCCAAAACTCCGTATATAACGGGCTATTGCCCACTATAGGCTGTGATCACCGCAGCCGGGACAGATCGATACAATACTGTTGAGATCCACCCAGCTGGCTGATTGACAGCTGGCTCTGCCTCTCTAGAGCCCGCTGTGCCTGCCCCTCCCCCTTCCGTTCCTCCAGTCATCTCTGAAGGATCGGGGAGGGGGGAGTCCCTGCGGGGAGTGGTGAATGTCATTCATTGCTCCCTGCAGGGAGATGATTGGGAAGTGTGCGGATCGGCGGTATGTTTTCGCTCACTTCCCAATCAGTAGTGCTGATGTCTGTCGTTTTAATGTCACACGTCGACTCTAACTACGAGGATGAGTGTAATTCACTTATCCCATAGTTCTCCTTTAATCCATTTTGTGTTAATGTCTGTAAACCTGCGGGGGAGATTTACTCTCTCTGTATAAGTGCGTTGGGGTGCCACCAGCACACACATATAAAGTGCAATACCATATGTTAAACACATGTTATGTGACCAAACCCTAAGGTATACTACTAAAAGATCTCATATATTGTATATATTTGCCTGTGGTCTGTTTGATTTTAAAAGTATCTGTATACATTCCATGTGTCCTTTAAATATTAATTGACTGTGAACCCCAGTTTTGAAGTTAGCTGTAGATTTACCAATGGAAACGTGGATGAATTAGAGCACCTTATGTGCTTGGGTGCAATTTAACATTATTTATAGGCTTAATGGGGAACCTGTTTCAAGGAACCCTGGAGCTGCCTTTGCTTGACCTCCTCTTTTAAAAAAACTACGCTGAGTTGTCCATACCGGACACTCTTTTCCTTAATGCATTTGAGTAACACTGAGCCTGATAACCTCACAGTACTGCGCTCCCTGCCGGTGACACAAAGCCTGTCACATAGACAGGTGCAGCAGCTGACGAATTAAGCTGTTGGGTGGGTGGAGCCTGATATTGAGACACCAGTTCACCATCAGGTCTACTTCCCCTTAGCTTGACAGTGAGTTGAGCCTGATGGGAAAACGAGAGGCTAGTTCCCCATCAGGTCCGTCTTGTGATTCACAACGGATGACAAAGGGAAGATTCCATAGCCACTAGTGGGCTGTCAATTGGCTATGGAATCTGCCCACTACTGTCCATAGTTAATCACAAGGAGGGCACATCTGATAGAGGCTAGTTCCCTAAGCATCACCGATCAAGCTTCGTTCAGACAGTAGACAGTGTTCAGTCCCATGTCATCGGTTGCTATGATGGTGCCCGATACACAATGTCACTGGTTGCTAGGAGTCTGTTGGCTACACAGTCGACAGCTTCATAGCAACCAGTGACACTGTGTAGCCCAAAAGGCTCCTAGCACTATGACAGGTAGGAGGTGGCACATAATAAGATATACAGTACCTACACTGCTTTCCTGTAGAACTATCTGCTCAATGGTACAACAATGTTTACAACTTTATTTCTTAGAGGATAGCTAACTCATATTTATATTCCTAAAAACTGAAAGGAGAAGGGGCTCATGTTGATCAGATCAGATGTTCCCTGACTCAGTCCCTCCAGTTCAAAGCCTATTAATGATTGGCACCATCTTCATATTCAAGACAAAGTCCATTAAAAATCATTTTCCAAAAATAGTAACATGGAGGGAGGAGTCCTGAAATGTTGCCACTATTTTATTTTTATGCAGCATTGTCCTACATCTTTTTTTATTTTTGTATTTATTTTTAATTAAAATATTTATTAGGGATGCACTGATACCAAGTACCGTACTCGGTACAAGTACAGATACTTTTCGAGCTCCAGGACTAGACTAGAGAAAAATTCAAAAGTTAGGAGGCAGCTGTCATTTGTAAGGAGCACACAGAGCTTCTGGGATTTGTACATCTCTGTATTAATGTATGATTTGTTTTTATAAATATAAATAAAGGGATGCACCAATACCAGTTTTGCGAGTACTGGTACTTGCCCAAGTACTCACAGATACCAGAACTGATAAATTTTTGTTTATTGTCATGTGACAGTTTTTCTAAAACAATACAGAGTAATGATTTCAGGACAGTGGTGGAGTGCCAGAGCCAGATCCCAGCTGCAACTGCTGCAACCCTGGTAGTTCTCATGAACATGCCAAGTATCTGCACTGGTACTCGAAAAGTATTGGTGCTTCCCTAGTTTTAATATAGATATGATGCTAACTACTGATGCATATAAATAATGAAAAATAAAAAGTTTAGTCAGTCAACCCTGGTCATGTCAATGAACCAGTCTCAGCATAAAATGTAGAAGAACTTGGCTTATAAATTTTCCTCTTGAAAAGTTTATTCTCAAACTCAGTGACAAGTTCAGCAAACATACTGTATGTGTTATATCCTTGCTAGTTTGCTGCCAGACCTCTTTAGCTGCACCCTTGGGCCTGTCTTATTTTTTGTATGAACACATCTCTGGTTTGTTTTGTTTCACCCCTGCTAGTGATTCAGCATATGTTCTGCTTTGCTTTGTAAATATTGCAAATCTGGAGTCTATAAAACACAATAGACAGCCTCTCTCACTCATTTTTTTCCCTTCTACTAAGCAACAAAAAATGTACAGTACCATAGGTATGTGACTTTACCTGTCTGATGAATGGTTTAACCATTTAACTAAATATTACTATGCAATGAAAGGCAAAAGCTAGTAAATTTATATAACATGTCCAGGGGCAGTATATGCAGGAAGATTATACACTCACCGGCCACTTTATTAGGTACACCTTGCTAGTACCGGGTTGGACCCCCCTTTTGCCTTCAGAGCTGCCTTAATTCTTCGTGGCATAGATTCAACAAGGTGTTGGAAACATTCCTTACAGATTTTGGTCCACATTGACATGATAGCATCACACAGTTGCTGCAGATTTGTCGGCTGCACATCCATGATGCGAATCTCCCATTCCACCACATCCTAAAGGTTCCCCTCTGAGATCTGGTGACTGTGGAGGCCATTGGAGTACAGTGAACTCATTGTCATGTTCAAGAAATCAGTTTGAGATGATGTGAGCTTTGTGACTTGGTGCATTATCCTGCGGGATGGACATGGTCAGCAACAATACTCGGGTAGGCCGTGGTGTTTAAACGATGCTCAATTGGTACTAAGGGGTCCAAAGTGTGCCGAGAAAATATCCCTCACACCATTACACCACCTCCACCAGCCTGAACTGTTGATACAAAGCAGGATGGATCCATGATTTCATGTTCATGTTTATGCCAAATTCTGACCCTATCATCTGAATGTTGCGGCTGAAATCGAGACTCATCAGACCAAGCAATTAAGGGTAAGTATTGCTACAGATTTACTTCACTTTATAGAATGAGCATTACTTATTACAAGCTTTATGATGCATATTGTGAAGGGCAGGTAATTACTAATCTAATAAAATATATTGTAACATAAATTATAGAGCATGTCTATTTATCCAAATACACGTCAACACATTTATTCCACAACGTAGGGAACACATGTCAAAAATCAGTTCAATTCGCAATCTAGGAAGTTGTGTATAATTAAAGTGACACTAAGCTCAGGAGATAAATCTTAAAATGCATTCAAGTACCCGATTAAGAAAAGTGTAGCTTATTTATGTATTACCCGGATGTAGATCTTCAAATCATCTCTGAATTGGCGCTGACACTGTCCTTCCTTGTGGAGGGTGACTACTTTTGTTCCCCCTGGTCCCTGTGTGTGTTGTAAAGTAGCCACCGCTCCAAGCTTGCTCCTGTGATAGACTATAACTTCAATACAAATTGGTAAACTAAAGGGGAGATTGTAGTCCATCACAAGAGCGATCTCGGAGTGAGGGTGGCTACGTGTGTTCCCCATGGTCCCTATGTGTGTTGCAAAGTAGCCCCCCTCCAGAAGGAAGGATAGTGTCAGCACCAATTCAGCGATGATTTGAGCATCTACAGCTGAGTGATACACAAATAAGCTACATTTTTGTTAATAGTTAAGTCACCTGAATGGATTTTTAAGATTTAACTCCTGAGTTTAGTGTCTTTTTAAGTCCCATAATGGTAAGATAGGGGTGTTTGCAATTTTGTTCATAAGCGTTTAAAAGGTGCAGAAGAATGCGACTTTGCAGATGTGTTGCAAGGCTTCTTGGCTTCTGAAAGTCCCTTCAGTCCATGTTCAAAGTCATATTCCTCTTCAGTTGTTGAAAGCTTGTAATCAGCTGCAGGAGATTAGCGACAGTTATCAGTCATTAATTACCATATAATCAAAGTGGTCCTTATAGCAAAGTGCTAAAAGCTATGGCAGTATATGAACACATTAGTCATAGATGTTTCAGTATGGGTATTTTGTGTGTATTAAAGATATAACACAAAGCATTTGATTTCTTTACATTGTGATATAGGGATGAGAGGAACCAGTCCATCATCGTGAGTGGGGAATCCGGTGCAGGGAAGACTGTTTCTGCTAAGTATGCCATGAGATACTTTGCCACAGTCAGTGGCTCTGAGAGTGAAGCAAACATTGAAGAGAAAGTGTTGGCTTCTAACCCAATTATGGAGGTAAGTGTGACTAGCAGCAATAGGAGTAACCATTGTATACCCCCCACAGGACCTTTTTTATCTCTATTCAGCATATGAATTGCATTAGTGATCAACTTGTACATATGGCAGTCACCTCTGGTCAAGCAGGAATTGTATTCTCGAGAAACATTTGCGCTTCCATGATAGCTGATTGCCTAGCTGTAATATTGTCTGTCCATCTTATTCATTATTCTCAGATGTCTTCTGCTTATTCTTTAACTTTTCAGTGTGCATATCTTCAAGCTATTACTCATTAATAAAAGTTTGACTAATGTATGCAGCAGAATTAGCTCCATGCTGTCTTCATTCATTAAGCTCACCATGAAAATATCACTGCACACAACTGTGAATGTTAATAAGAAACCAGCTTGCTCTCTGTGTGGATTGATAATTGCTCTTTTCACATTAACTGGTTTTGGTTTACAGGGCTTTAGTTAATTTATACATTTCTTAGTTAAGAAAAGGAAAATTTAGGCAACTGGTGGTTTTTTTGTATTAGCATTCATGTATGTTTTGGTCTGCATTTATTTTTTACAAATATTTTGTGTTTTGAAAAAAATAGTTTACATCAAATATTTGCGAATCTGCTAATATTGCAAATCTAATCATAAAAATAATTATACTACAGATATACTTAACACACAACATATTCACCTTTTACTTTTCTTTCATGCTCCTTTGAGGCAAAATATAATTATAAGTAAGATGGCGTTACCTTTACAAGAACACTTTGCCTTTAGGCTGAATGCTGGAAGATTTCAACATTTCTGATGTACTAGATGGTGCTTATCCTTACTGAAATTCATGCTTCTAAAAAACTTTACTCAAATCTTTTTCAGACGTGAGATGACACCTACAAAGATTATGTTGCAGTCTGAGGATTATGTACAACTGGTGCATGCTAGTTAGAAAACCAGCATTTTAGTGGGCTTGATAATGACCAGAAAGCCATGTGTGGCTAAGTAGGAGTGTGCACATCATCATTTTTCATTAAAAGATTACTGTACTTTTCAAGCACTTTAGCTCTTTCCATTTCTAACCTCTTACCCCTGATTTTAATGCATTACAAGAACTCTCATCACAGCTGGTCATAGTCACTGTTTGATTACTCACTTTGAACTATTCTGCAGTTTGCCCTGTAACTGCAGACAAGGACTGATAGCAAGTTTGTTCCATATAAATACTATTTGATTCATTGTCCTCCGTGTGAAGAGCCATAAATTATGATTAATATGCTGCAGTGCAGCCATGTAATCCATGAAGATCACAAACTGCTAGAAGCAGGCATGCTGTGCACATATTTTTCTAATTCCTGCCCATCTTCCCATGCCATGTGATTCTTGATTATGGAAAGAAGAATGTGCATCTAGAGGCATCCCTGACACCTTCCTTGTTCTCAGCTCTGAAGGGAAGCACATGTTCTCCAATATGGTAACTAACCATATTAAGGGGCTGCCTGCTTCTAGCAGTTTTTAATCTTCAATGATGAAATTAGTGCAGTACAGTACAGAAGTGACCAGTTATTGCTCCCGGCATTGTAGACATTGAATCAAAGGTGTTTAGAGCTGATGTTTTGCTTGCTCTCACTCTGTCTGCATCTGCAATACAGATGTTGTCAAGCTGACTGTAAACAAATGGGTGTTTATACTGTCTAAGGTCTGTATTGACAGCAATCACAGGGAAGATAATTCAGAGGTAAGAGGTTATTTTTGCAAAGATGCTGGTATATTTAGATATACACAGTCACTCTGTACAAGATTCTGACTTTTACTATGCTTTGCAATATACTCTGCTCTTTGCATTGCTTTAGTTTCTAGGCCTAGTATCAGTCCACATCTATACACGCGACCAGGCTGCTAAGCTTGATGGAATAACAATATCAGAATATTGGGCTATATGTCATCTTAACACCAATGTGAGGCCCATATACGTTATTATAGAATGTGTTTGGACAATTGCAGCCGGCAGGATTTCATATCTGCTTATAAATGTACCACCTTATTTTTTTTTCTTAATCTTTTCACATATCACACTTGCCAGACTACCATTCCAGGTGTGAATGAGAGAATTTGTAGCTTGGAAGGAAAACACTGAATGAGTTCTTCTGTGCAGAACATTTTTCTTAAGAGGGAGGGCATTGCAACATGTTAAAAAAAAATAGTCATATGACAGAATTCCCAGGAGTGAAAGTCAGACCAGATCCGTAAGGGCTCAAGTACTATAAATGCATCTAAAACAAGTCTTGTACTTGTCTTCTAACACACAGGCCAATTAAGACATTCCTGGAAAAGTCATGACTGTTGTGAATGGCCAGACAACTACATAGTTTAAAGAGTCTCTGACTATTTATAATGTTGTATATTTATTGTAGTCTTGTTGGATAATAACCAATTCAAAAAAATTTACTTGATGAGTATGAGCTTCATCAAATTGCCCCCAAATACTAAAAACTAAATTCACTTTTCTTCTTCAAAATTATAAATTAAAAAACCCGACCCATGATTGTAAGATTTTAATTGACTTGCATGTCCCTTTTTACTCTCTGGAAACCTGGAAGGCTCAATATGTAAATATGGAAGATGGAGATTGAAGGAGCTGTAGCATGCCTAAGGGATTGGTTTTGAAACAAAGACTCTGGGGGGAAAAGCCCCACTGCAAGGGTTAACACTTTTTTTTTGCTGGATTTCTTCTTTGCAGCACATCTCCACATTTAAAAAAAAAAACAACAACTCCCTGCACCCACCTCCAACACCTGTTTTTTTTTTTTACAAAATGTCCTTATGCTTATCTTAAATGCAGCAGTCTACTGGCCTGTGATGTCTCATCTCATGATATTTCCTATTCTGCTCCAGGTTGGCATTGGGGGTGTCTTAAATAATGCAATGAGCAGTGCTGAATTGTCAGTGGCACTCCCTGTACTATTGTACTGTGAGCCTAGGCTGACGTGGTAATGCATTTCATCCATGACAGCCTGGGCTCACAAGAAGTGGTTTGAATAATGCTAATTGTCATTCACCCTGGAAGAGGGCCATTGGCAGTGTGAACTTCCTGAAGGGAACAGGAGAACAGGTGAGTATTGCAGCATAAGCGGCATATTGTATTTTTAAGGCTTTAAGGCTTATAGTCATATGAACTATAACTCAATGTTAACCGGAGTTATGCTTTAACTTATGTAAGTTCCATTGTTTGATGAGTTCACATGTTTACTTTTTAACCCAATTGAACCCTCAGTTTAAAGCAGCTAAATACATCCCGCATGCACCAAAATGAAAGTTGTGCAAAGTCTTAGCTTGTTTTCTTTAGAAAGTAGTCTGTTCACTGCAGCAGCTGCAGAGTTGGGACCCTTTCCCTCTTTGAGGAAGTGGTGATCTCCTTTGCAGTGGTCCGGCATATTCCCTGCTAAGCCAGAGCTCTCCAATAAGCAAAGAGAGTGAACGTTGCTGATTGCCAAGCTTTAGCTTGCTCAGTTGCATTTTGGACCTCTGTAAAGGTGCCCATACACTGTACGATTATCGTACGAGAATCGCGGAAAACCCAACGATCGTACGATAATCGCAAAGTGTATGGAAGGCGTGCGACCGTTTCTACTGTGCGGTCGCACGTCTTCCGTCAAACAAGCAGGCTGGAAAACCCGCCGAGAATCTACGATTCTTAGCGGGTTAGTGGCCTGCTTGTTCGACAACTGCCGAACGGGCCGGTGTGCGCACGCGCACACTGCCCGTTCAGCATTGCAGTCATCGGAAGCCCGCCCCTCAGGGGGGCGGGCTTGCGATGATCGCAAGTACGATCTCTCTGTCCAAGATGGGCAGATCGTACGTTTTTTTAAATTACTTTACAACCCTCGCAAGACAGAAGTCTTGCGAGGGTTGTAAAGTGTATGGCCACCTTTATGGTGCCATTGCTTCCCCACATAAAACAAGGAGTCCACTCTATAGATTCTGGCAGTGGACATGCTTTTCTACTTGGGCTATAGCGGATTTAGAAAGAAAATGAACTGTAAGTCATTGAACACCTTTTTGTTTTTATGCATCTGGAATGTTTTTAGCTGATTTAAACTGAGGGTGTAATTGGGCTTTAACGTGTAAGTAGATATAAAGATGCCATCTAATCCAGATAGATATTTATTAAAGATATAAATGTATTCCTTGCATATTACCTTTTATCTGTCTTGGTGCTAGCTTCCTGTAATCTCTACACATCAGCATTCAGATAGGAAGGAAGAGGGGTAGTGTTGGAAGCAAATCAGGCTTTGCACAGTGCTGTGGCTATAACAAATGGAGCTTTCTGATTGGAGCAAAAAACACAGACATTACCTCATCATTGAAAATTCAATTGTTCTACTTTGTATTACACAAAGATGACACAGAGCTGTATGCAGAGTAATGTGAAATTAATGCGCGTAATGTAAGACAAGTGAAAGGGCCCTTTATCGCAGAAACAGGATATTTTGTGCAATCCATAGGCGTCGATTAAATAAAATGCTACATAGCTCTTGTAATGTAGGGCCCATAGATTTGCATTATGTGAGGACGCCGAGGGACAGTCCACAAGCCAGAGCGGAGGGGAGAGAGGGGGAGTGCGGAATGCTGGTGAAGTGGGGATCAGGTGAGTAAAAGTCTTCTTCACCATACCCCTAGACAAAAGCGAGCAGTTAAAACATACAGTGCAGGGGTAGCCCAACTGCCAGGGGAGTTTTTGTTGTTGTTGTTGTTTTACCCTGAGATAGGCTTTAAGAAGAACTCCAGGTTTTATTTTTCCAAATGAACCCTTGCAGTCAATTTTATAGGGGTGTTTTGGCGATGGTGTTACATCATTTGTTACAATAAAGACTTAATTTGTACATAAAATACCCTGATGTATTTTGTCTCTAAGTAACTTGATTCTTCTCAGGTTGTTTTTTAGCCTTGCACTGCAAAGGATAAGTGCTTGTTTTGGTCTAGAATTGAGAATATATACACTTACCTGATACTTGCTTCTGT